AGAGAGAGAGAGAGAGAGAGAGAGAGAGAGAGAGAGAGAGAGAGAGAGAGAGAGAGAGAGAGAGCTGACACGACGTTTGTGTTAAACAGTCTTGGCACAGTTATCAAAAAACACAAGATTGGGTGAAAAACATTGAGTGCATGTTCATACCGAAGCTGGCAAGATACATTCACTGTTATTCATATCTAGGCACCTTCTATGTGAAGAATAATTCACCATTTTGCAGTTTAAGTGTAGTGTGGCGAGGCCTTTAAGTCGGGCAATTTGTCAGATGACATGCCAGAGAGAGACAGAAGGAGAGCTCTAACCTGACACAGCATATCAGTTAAAACTGATACGACACAGACATGATTTTTCTCTTTTTTTCCTTTTCTTTATGCCAGCACACTCCAAGGGGCTGTAGTACAGACACATTCGCCATAGTAATAGTGACATCCAGGCTGTAGTGGAGAAATGTGTCCCATAGTCTATACAGAGGCAGTAGTCCCACACATTTTTCCTTTCTTTCATTCCTTTTCTCAAGCTCCAGGTGGCGCACAGTTTTTCTTGTCTCAAGCAGCATGTTCCTTTCTTCCCCACAGTGTACGAGCTCGCCATCAGTTCAATATCTGCCACCACCATGCCCAATGGGCATCACTCCACTGGTCTCGAAATAAGCAACGCGAGAGTGAATCTTCCTTTAGAACAGGGAAAGATACACCGCCATAATTTTTGTCTCGCATGTCAAGATTAGTGGAGCGACGCCCATAGATTGGAGTCATTCAACACGTGTGGTGACAGAAGCCCCGTCAAACACCCACAAACAGCCACAAGCACACAAGACACATTGGGTGTCCAATATGAGCTACTCCTGGCAGCACAACACTATGTTTCCCAAGGGGCGCGTTGCCCATGGTTCAGCAACTGACGCTCACCACATCCAATGATTGGATGCAACCTGTGGGGGGCAAGTAATACATTGGATCCCAAAACAGCTGCAAGCACTCATAACGCATCCCACATCCAAAAACATCGAATCCCAGCCAAGGAGACTACATGCTCTTCGCTATTTGAGATACGTCCAACACAGCGCCCACAGTAGTGCACTCGCTCACCTTCAAGACTTCAACCACCATGTTCCCTAAGGCACCCACAAACCGGAACATTCTATGCGATGTCACAGTTGGATCGAAAGCCTGTTAACAGAGCCCTGAATTTTCAGGGTTTTTTCAGGGTCATTATAACAAAAGCCCCACACCTTTTAAGCCAGACTTGTCACCAGTTCATAGAGTGGAAAAAATGCAAAAATAATAAAATATGGATCAACGGGGCCTAAAACCCAAGGCAAAAGTGTGTTTTCAACTTTTCAATGTTTTCATGAAAAATTCGCTCTTTTGGGTCTTTTCAGTTTTTCAACTTTTCTAACTTTAGGATCAGGATTTTCAGGGCTGGCCAAAACAGTCATCTCCAAGACCCCAACAAACACCAGACTTGGCACACGCAGACCTTGACCACAAATAAAACAGGGCAAAAGAAAAAACAACCAGAAAAAAAAATCCCCAAATTCACTTTTCAGTCTTTTCACTGTTTTCAAGTTTTCACTGTTTTCAGTGCTCGGGGGTTTAACCTGGGACTGAAAAGTGGGGGTCCCTATTAACCAATTGTGGTCCTTGTGGACCAAATTAGATACAGAGAAGATTAGCATGGTCCCTGCTCAAGGGGGGGAAAAGGAAAGAAAAAAAAAAAAGAAAACAAGATAGCACTTTAGGCCACCCATACACAAACAGGTTCCGTTCATTGACATTTTGCGAATATCAGGTACCCAAATGAGAGAAATGCTCTTTAGAGCATCTCCTTAAGAATATCAGGCCAGGCAAAATTGCTGCACAGCGTCCCACAGAACAGTCGCCCAGTGTAGCACATGGCACAAAAATTATTCATATCATTGCCGAAACAGTTGGCCAGTGTTGCATATGGCACAAAAATTATCACATCCGGCCCACTTGACATTTCCACAAAGCCTCTCCGACATACCATGCACAAAACCATTCCCCTCTCTGACAACAATGTTGCACGGATATTTACGTATATGCAAGTGCTTACCGTTTTCAACACCTAGGAGCCGACGCCTTCTGTGCGGGTTTCCAGTTTCTCTTGACAGAATCCTTCTCGACGTCTGCGGCTCCGCATTGCCCCAATCTCTGACTTTGTCCGTTAAGCCTGTGAAAATACAAATCGATCTCATCTGTGAATTTAACCCAAAAGCATAGATCTTGGCCATTCATTTGAGCCGAAAGCCGTTATAAACATGAATCACACATGCTGCGCATCACGTGTGGCGTGCGCGCAAGTTGCGCATGTGCGCCATATAGCGCATGCGCACACGTGATGCGGTGCATTTATAAAATTTAAAAAAAAAAATTAAAAAAGGGTAGGCTGTGGTAACCATCATTGTCCCTCCCTTTTGAAAATTGTAGTGCACAGAAAAAACTATTTTGGGCCCACTTCGTACTACTCGTTGGATATATTCTCTTTTCCAAAAGGTCCCCTGCAAAGAATCAGCAGGGTTCCCATGCTTTTGGAACGATGTTCATTGAACTGCCCTCTCTCTCTCTCTCTCTCTCTCTCTCTCTCTCTCTCTCTCTCTCTCTCTCTCTCTCTCTCTCTCTCCAGCGTGTACACACACAAAACGGTCGCTTCTTTTTTTCTTTTTTTTTCAGGCATCTGTGATCACCACACCACGCAGCGCAGCACACTTCATCTACGGCCCGCAAGTACGATACGAATCGATATAACCCAAAAGCACAATGGCAAAAGACCATCTCCATCCGTTACAGTTGGAACGATACAGAGAAGATTAGCATGGCCTCTGCACAATGGGAAAGGGAACAAAAAAAAGAAGAAGAAAGAGCATATGATGTTCTGCATCTCCACATTACCTCGATCCTGGACTTTGATCTGTTGCAGATATAACTTGAGCATAAGATTACTCCAAAATCATAGACCTCGCCCATTAGGTTTGACGATATAAGCACTGGTACCTCCAAGCGTCAGGGCCATCGGTGATAATTATCATCAACGGCCTGCCGAAGCAGCTAGGTCGCAGCGCGGGTGCGTGGCCATATACTGGGCCGAGTAACTTTCATTGCAAAAGATAACCCAGAAGCCAGATGGAGAAAATGAGAAAAAACAACCTCCCGAAATAGCGCTATGTGAGCATGTTTTCCCTCTAAGAAATTTGCAACCAAATAAGAGAGAGAGCCGGCTACACTTAGAAAATTTCGAAGCTTGTGCTACACGAAAGGGGTTATAACCCAGCACAGCATGGAATTTGCTAGCACCCAGCCCATCCAAGTGCCCATTAGGAGGGCCCATCCGCCAGGGAGACGACATATCCCTATTCTCAGTGTGTTGTTGAGTATGTCAATCATTCCAATGTAACCAGCAAGACAGCCTACTTGGGTTCCCAGAAACAAACTTGCCCCCCCTCACCCACAACACTCGAATTCCACAGAATACCTACAGCTTGCAATGACACAACACTACAGAAGCAGTATTTTCGGGTTTACATGTCCATTCGCCCAATTCTTTCGCTGCCTCACGTAACGTCACTCCCAGCCAGTCGCTCCCTCGGACCGCCCCTTTGTCGCTTTTCGGTGGGCCCGGGTCCTACCGTTACGGTGGGACCGTTGTCGTTTTAAAGAGTATAGAGAAGATATCAACAGAAGTGGAGAAGAGACAACTCCCTGATATGAGGAAAACATCACAAACCAAACAATGCCCCAGGACCTCAGACTGGAAGGACCGTGTGTCTTTTGTGGGAAGTCCCCAAATGACAAACTCCTGTATTTACCAACTGGCCTATCTCAGTTGGTACACCACCGGACTGTTGAAAAACTTGAAATTCAGACCTGAGCTCGAACTCCACTGGAAGCAGACGAGTAAAATAGTCAAAATAGTAAAATACTCTGAGTGAGGACGCCGCCCGGCCGGGCCTGCCCTGCCGTGCTGGGCCCCACCGGTTGGGCCCGGGGGGGCTGCCCGGGTAAACCGGGCAGGACAAAAAACAGCCCAGAATTTTTATTTTTATGAAACCGGGGTCGTTCTGCGCTCAGCGAGAGGACCCCGAATCTGCAATAAAATTTTGGTTTTGGTGGGATGATGGGGGGGTTGGTCTGGGTGGGGGGTGCTGGGGTTGGGGGGGTGTCTGTGATGGGGCGCAGATGCGTTTTTTTTTTTTTT